ATCACACCACTGCACTCCACAGCCTGGGTGACAGAGAGATACCGCTCAGGAAAAAAAAAAAAAAAAAAAGGCCGGGCGCGGTAGCTTATGCCTGTAATCCCAGCATTTTGGGAGGCCAAGGCAGGCGGATCACAAAAGTCAGGAGATAGAGACCATCCTGGCTAAAACGGTGAAACCCTGTCTCTACTAAAAAAAAAAAATACAAAAACAAACAAAAAAAAATTATCCAGGCATGGTGGTGGGCGCCTGTAGTCCCAGCATTCTGGGAGACAGGGTCGGGCGGATCACCTGAGGTCAGGAGGTCAAGACCAGCCTGACCAACACGGTGAAACCCTGTAGCTACTAAAAACACAAAATTAGCTGGGCGTGGTGGTGCACGCCAGTAATCCCAGCTACTTGGGAAGTTGAAGCAGGAGAATGGCTTAAACCGGGGAGGCAGAGGTTGCAGTGAGTCAAGATTGTGCCATTGCACTCTAGCCTGGGCAACAAGAGCCAAACTCCTTCTCAAAAAAAAAAAAAAAGTTACACTCGGATTTTCAACTGCACAGGGATCCCTAACCCCCCTTGCTCACAGGTCAGCCAACCATATACTTAAAAGTAGGTGAATTTTACAAATTAGGTACATTATACCTCAATAAACAAAATTTTTGTTTAAAATTTTTGTTTTTAAAGCATGCTAATACTTTTAAATTGGAATTGGGTTAAATTTATAGATTAATATGAAGAGAACTGATGTCTTTACCATGTTGAGTGTTCCAACCACTGACCATGGTATGTCCCCCCACTTACTTAAATGATCTTTGATTTCTCTCATCTTTAGCATATGGATCATGTAAGTCTTATTCGATGTATACCTAAGTATTTGATTCTTTTGAAGCAAGCGAAACGGTGTGTTTTTAAATTTAACTTTCTTTTTTTTTTTTTGAGACAGAGTCTCACTCTGTTGCCCAGGCTGGAGTGCAATGGCGCTATCTTGGCTCACCACAACCTCCGCCTCCCGGGTTCAGGCGATTCTCCTGCTTCCGCCTCCTGAGTATCTGGGACTACAGGCGCATGCCACCATGCCCAGCTAATTTTTGTATTTTTAGTAGAGACAGAGTTTCACTATGTTGGCCAGGCTGGTCTCGAACTCCTGACCTCGTGATCCACCTACCTTGGCCTCCCAAAGTGCTGGGATTACAGGCGTGAGCCACTGCATCTGGCCAAATTTAACTTTCTAATTGTACATTGTTAGTACAGTAGTCCCCACTTATCTGTAGTTTCATTATCTGCAATTTCTGTTTTCCCAGTTACAGCTGCCTGTAGTCAACTGCCCTCCAAAAATAGGTGAGTGCATACAAAGAGATATTTTGAAAGAGAGAACACATTTATATAACTTTTTTCAGTATATAATTATTCTACGTTATGAACGGTTATTGTTGTTAATCTCTTTCTGCGCCTAGTTTTTAAATTAAGCTTTATCATAGGCATAGATGTATAGGGAAAAAAACACAGTCCACAGAAGGTTCTGTCTTATCGGAGGTTTTGGGCATCTGCTGGAACGTATCCTCCATGGATAACAGGGACTGTTGTAAACAGAAATAAGGTCAGCTTGTATAGTGTTGACTTTGCATGTATCTCCCCACGGATAAGGGGCACTGCTGTATGTAGAAATAAAGTCGCCAGGGCAGGCCCGGTGGCTCACGCTTGTGATGCCAGCACTTTGGGAGGCTGAGGTGGGCGGATCAGGTTGGGAGTTCCTGACCAGCCTGACCAACATGGAGAAATCCCCTCTCTACTAAAAAAACAAAATTAGCCAGGCGTGGTGGCACATGCCTGTGATCCTGCTGCTTGGAAGGCTGAGGCAGGAGCATCACTTGAACCCGGGAGGCAGAGGTTGCGGTGAGCCAAGATCGCACCATTGCACTCTAGCCCAGCAACAAGAGTTAAACTCTGTCTAAAAAAAAAAAAAAGAAAAGAAAATAAAAATAAGGTCGCCTTCTGTGTGTTGACTTTGTGTCTTGTAACCTCATTAACTAGTTCTAGTAGCTTTTTCACAGATTCCTTGGATTTTCTACGTAGATAATCATGTTGTTGGCAAATAGGGACAATTTTCCCTTTCCAATCTATATGCCTTTTACTTCTTTGTCTGATGTTACTGCACTGGCTAAAATAAGGTTTTTAAATTATGTCATGTAATTAATCCATGCTTTATCTATGGCCTCTAAAGGCTGGCTAAACTTTAATAGGAAAAACAATGAGAATAGCTTGGACGTGTTAGTTAAAACTTCAACACTATAAAATATGTTTTGGCCGGGCGCGGTGGCTCACACCTGTAATCCCCAGCACGTTGGGAGGCCAAGGTGGGTGGATCACCTGAGATCAGGAGTTTGAGACCAGCCTGGCCAACATGGCAAAACCCTGTCTCTACTAAAAATACAAAAATTAGCCGGGTGTGGTGGCAGGCGCCTATAATCCCAGCTACTTGGGAGGCTGGGGCAGGAGAATTGCTTGAACCCAGGAGGCGGAGTTTGCAGTGAGCCAAGATCACACCACTGTACTCCAGCCTGGGTGACAACAGTAAAACCCCATCTCAAAAAAAAAAGGGTGAGGGGGAAGAAAAGAAAAGAAAAGAATTTAGCTATTATTTAAACCCAAAGTCACCTTTAGCATTATAAACTTGAGTATGTGTACAAAGATACAGACACAAGCACTGACTGTAGTGGTGAAAAACAGTAAATAACTATAATGTCAATTAACAGGAGGCTGATAAAATTATGAAACATCCACACTACAGAATACTACAGTCATTTGGCCGGGCACAGTGGCTCATGCCTGTAATCCCAGCACTTTGGGAGGCTGAGGCGGGTGGATCACTTGAGGTCAGGAGTTTAAGACCAGCCTGGGCAACATGGGAAAACCCCGTCTCTACTAAAAAGACAAAAATCAGCCGGGTATGGTGGCACGTGCCTGTAATCCCATCTACTCAGGAGGCTGAGGTGGGAGAACCACCTGAACCCAGGAGGCAGAGGTTGTGGTGAGCCAAGTTTGCACCACTGCACTCCAGTCTGGGCCACAGAGCAAGACTCCATCTCAAAAAAAAAAAAAAAAAAAAAAAAAAAGAATACTATAGAGTTATTTAAAAGATTGAAGGAAATCTGTGTGTATATACTGTATATATCAACATGTGAAGATTGCTAAGATCTTTAAGTAACCTAACATCATTAAGTGAAAAATGTACGATAATATATGCAATATGATCTCGCTATGTTATCTAAAAAATTGCTTACGCAGAGAAAAGACTGTATACTACTTAGAAGTACCGAGGGAATTTCACTTCTAGCATACACGGTTCCCTACTGCTTAATGTTTTTAATGAACTATAGTTTTGTAATTTTTCTCAGTACTTTATCATTTTAGTCTCTCTCTCAGGCTGTATCCGAGAGCCACATTTTTCAGACGCTTGTATCTTTACTCTTCAGGGACAAACCAGAGCATAGCTGAATGTCCCACGCCTTATGCTAAGTGAAACAAGCCAGACTGCAAGCCCACATGTGACATCCTGGAACGGGCAAAACAGGAGGACTGAGGAACAGGCAGGTGGCTGCAAGAGCGGGAAGGAGAGAGGCTGCCTTCCTGAGTATCCCGACAGCGGTGGCAGTCACGACAGTTCACGCATCTGTTAAAGCTCACTGAACTGCACACCAAAAAGTGAATCTTACTATATGTAAATTTTAAAACAAATTTAAACACACACACAAACTTAGGGGGTACATTTTCTTGGAGCGCGGCACAGACACGTCTTAACGCAGGAAACGTCCTCCGCCACGACTCCAGGGCGCCTCGGCCGCAGTGAGGGCACCGGCGCTCTCTTCCTACTGGCCCTGCCAGTGCACACCTGCTACGGTCCGCGCCCACTCACAGCGCGACTCGTTCTTCCAGGCTCCGCGCCTGCAGATCCAGACATCACTTGGAAAGCCGCTGGCCACCCGCGGGGACAGGGCAGCACGCGTGGGGCCCCCGCGGGTCCCGGCCTGGCCGGGACTCTGTCGCAGCCACCAAGCTGTCAAGCACAGCAATGCGCGCCCTGCACCGGGCATCACCGCGGCTCCGACCACGCCTCATCCCGGAGTCCGCCGGGCGACTCCAAGAACCACCACCGTTCCCTGCGCGGCCACGGTGCCCTGCGCCGCCGGAAAACAAACGCTCACGAGCCTCAGTCCCCAGCGGCGACCACGCGGCGCTGGGCTCAATCAGCAGCCGCTCCCTGATTGGACTTCACAGCGGAGCTGACACCGTCCAGACGCCCCTCTCAGCTTAAAATACGCTCCAGCAACCCCGTTTCCCAATTATTCTTCCACCCTTCTGGTCACACCCACAATGCGCTGCAAATTAAGCTCACGCATTTCACCCTTAAAATACACAATTCAGACGCTTGTGCGAAACAGTGCGGCCCCCGTAACAATCGCGCCTCCTTAACAAAGCCCAAAACTCCTCTCTCCAAGAATGCGCGGAATGGCTCCGCCGGGCTCCCTCCGGTGCTCACAGGGGCACGAAACAAAAACGGGTTCAGATCTTGCTGCGCGACCTTAGCGCAACATTAGCAATCTCCTTGCTCCTTACTTTCCAACAAAAACGTGAAACACGAAGGTATTCCTTCCCCACTGGAGCTGTGCCACGTGCCGGGGCGCGGAATCCGGGATCGCGGGGCGCGAGGCGGGGAACGCGGGGGCGGGGAGCTCGGGGCCGAGGCCGAAAGGCCGGGGGCGCGGGGCCCGGGAGGCCGGTGCAGGGAGTGCGGGGACCTGGAGCCCGGGACGCGCGGGAGCCCGGGGTCGCGACCTGGGGGACGCGGGGACCAGGGCGATCCCGGAGGCCGCGCCGCCGGGGAGGCCGCGCCGCCGGGGTGGGGGGCTCCGTCTCAGCCCCGCCGCCGCCCGGGCTGGCCCAGGTTCCGAGGGGGACTCGAACCCCACGGAGGCCGCCGGCGGGCGCGGGCGAGGGCGAGCGGGGTTTCTCACCTGGGTCCGCGGCGGCTTGGGGGTCCTGGGCGGGCCCCGGGAGTTTCCTTGGCCGAGTGAGTCACTCGGGCTGGCCGGGAATGCGCCAGGAAACACTCGGCCTCCTCCCCTTCCTCCCGGGGCGGGGGCTCTCCCGGCTCGGCCTCTTCCTCCCGGCGCTCCTCCCTCCCGGCCGCGGCCCCGGCCGCTCCCTCCTCCCGGCGGGGCGTCCCCGGCCGGCCGCTTCCCCCACGCCGGCCGCCGAAGGTGTCCTCCCAGGCGGAGAGCCCCTGGCCACCTGCCGGCCGGCGCCACCTCAGCCTGCGCGGGACGACGGGGTCGGGGCGGAGCGGGCGTGGGGTCCTCCCGCGGGTCCGTCCGGCTCGGAGAGCGGAGGAACGGGGTCCGCACGCCGCCCCGGGGCTCCGCCGGGAAGGAGCTCAGGGGGACGCCCCGAGTGTCCTGTGGCGCCGCCCCGTGGCGCCGCCCCGCCTGGCAGGAGGCGCTCACCTGCGCCCGTCGGCGGGTCCAGGAGCGGCAGGTCCGCGCGCACACCCAGCTGGGGACCCTCCACCGGCCCCTGCGGCCCCGTCGCCCACGAGAGCCGGGGCAAATCCGAGCGCCGACCTGCCGGAACGGGAAGGAAACCCGATTTGAGCTCGTGCCAGAAAACAATCTTGAAAGGCCGGTGGAGTAACAGACCTCACGCGGAAACGCTGAGCGGAGTGAGCGGCTCACAGGCGCGCTTAGGAAAACTGCCCTAAACCCCTGCTCGGCCCCGGCAACCTCACTGCCCTTCACCCGCGACCCCTGGTGCTCACGGAGCACCGTGAGGATGGGCATCGGCTATTCTGGTCCGGCCTCTAGATGATGAAGCTTTGGCTACGCCCGCCTGTGCTCTGCGTAAGGCAAAAAGCAGCAAATGACTCCTCACCAGCGGATTGAGACAATCTACCCGCTGACTCAATATTCAGATACCACTTTCTCACATCCCTGCAAAACGGGGGTTTGGATGACATTCTGGTTCCCAGTCCACACATTTTCACATCAGCAGATTACTGCTTTTCTGTGCCTAGGGTGGAGTCTCAAAATTAGATTCCAAATGTTTTTACATTGTAGACGACAAGACAGAACCCAAATTCAAGTTATACTGTGATAATTTAAAAATGTGTAATCCCGGCCAGGCGCAGTGGCTCACGCCTGTCATTGCAGCACTTTGGGAGGCCGAGGTGGGCGGATCACCTGAGGTCAGGAGTTCGAGACCAGCCTGGCCAACATGGCAAAACCTTGTTTCTACTGAAAATACCAAAATTAGCTGGGTGTGGTGGTGGGCGCCTGCATTCCCAGCTACCCGGGGACTGAGGCATGACAATCGCTTGAATCCAAGAGATGGAGGTTGGAGTGAGCCGAGATCAGGCCACTGCACTCCAACCTGGCAACAGAGAGAGACTCCATATTTTAAAAAAAAAATAAATAAATAAAATAAAATAAAATAAATTTTTTTTAAAAAATGGTACTAGAATAACTGCATAACGATGTGGAAAAACTGAAACTCAACCTCCTCCCCAACAGCATGTACAAAAAGTAACTGACTGTGTATGGATCATAGACCTAAATTTGAAAGCTAAAGATACAAAGCTTCTAGAAGAAAACATAAGAGAATAATTTTATAACTGTAGAGTAGAGGTAGGCAAGATTTCTCAAAAGTATAGGGTTAGTACCTTTAGAAAAAAATCATAAATTGATTTGATCGAAATTTAAAATTTCGCCGGGCGCGGTGGCTCAAGCCTGTAATCCCAGCACTTTGGGAGGCCGAGACGGGCGGATCACGAGGTCAGGAGATCGAGACCATCCTGGCTAACACGGTGAAACCCCGTCTCTACTAAAAAATACAAAAAACTAGCCGGGCGAGGTGGCGGCGCCTGTAGTCCCAGCTACTCGGGAGGCGAAGGCAGGAGAATGGCGGGAACCCGGGAGGCGGAGCTTGCTGTGAGCCGAGATCCGGCCACTGCACTCCAGCCTGGGTGACAGAGCGAGACTCCGTCTCAAAAAAAAAAGAATTAAAAAAAAAAAAGAAATTTAAAATTTCTCATCAAAAGATAAAGTTAAAAGAGTGAAAAGGCATAGACAATATTACAAGACAATACTGCAGTACCTGTAACAGAGAGCTTGTGTCCAGAATATATAAAGAACCCGGGCAACAATACAATGACAATGCAGGAAAAATAGGTCCAAAGACTCACACTTTAGAAAGAAACTACTTTGGAAGTCTTTTATAAAATTCAACATATATTTATTCAACATATATATCTCCTATGACGGTGATTCTACTTCTCTCTCTCTCTCTCTCTTTTTTTTTTTTTTTTTTTTTTGACAAAGAATCTCGCTGTGTCGCCCAGGCTGGAGTGAGTGGCGCGATCTCGGCTCACTGCAAGCTCCGCCTCCTGGGTTAAATTCTCCTGCCTCAGCCTCCCGAGTAGCTGGGACTACAGGCGCCCGCCACCTCGCCCGGCTAGTTTTTTTGTATTTTTAGTGGAGACGGAGTTTCACTGTGTTAGCCAGGATGGTCTGGATCTCCCGACCTCGTGATCCACCTGCCTCGGCCTCCCAAAGTGCTGGGATTACAGGCGTGAGCCACCGCGCCCGGCCTGATGGTAATTCTACTTCTAAGTATTTACCTAATAGAAATACAAATTAATCTCTGCACAAAAACTTACATAATGACTATTCTTTTTTTGTCTCTTTTTTTTTTTTTTTTTTTTTTTTTTTTTTTTTTTCCAAGGTGCGATCTGGCTTTCACTGCCGCCTCCTATGCCTCCTTCAGTGGCTGGGAGGCCTGCTAATTTTTATGTTTAGTGAGCTTCTGTTGAATGTTCAGTCTCACGACCTCATCTGACCTCCCAAACGAGATGACCCCAGTCAATTCTACTTCTAAGTATTTGCACAATAGAAATACAAATTAATCTCTGCACAAAAAAAGAAACTTACATAATGACTATTCTTTTTTGTCTCTTTGTTTGAGACAGAGTTTCATTCTTTGTCGCCCAGGCTAATCACAATGTCTGATCTCGGCTCACCACAACTCCACCTCCCGGAGTTAAAGCAATTCTCCTGCCTCCAGCCTCCTGCTGGGTTACAAGCTCCTCCTCAGGTAATTTTTTTTTTTTTTTTTTTTTTTTTTTTTTGAGACAGAGTTTCATTCTTTGTCGCCCAGGCTGGAGTGCAATGGCCTGATCTCCGCTCACCACAACCTCCACCTCCCGGGTTAAAGCAATTCTCCTGCCTCAGCCTCCCGATTAGCTGGGATTACAGGCATGTGCCGCCACTCCAGGCTAATTTGCATTTTTAGTAGAGACGGGGTTTCTCCATGTTGGCAGGCGGGTCTCCAACTCCCCACCTCAGGTAATCTGCCCACCTAGGCCTCCCAAAGTGCTGGGATTACAGGCATGAGCCACCGCACCTGGCTGTATAATGAATATTTTTACTTATTTATAATCGATAAAAACTAGAAACAGCCCAAAGTGCACAAATAGGAGAATGGATAAACAAATACGGTTCATATAATGGAATATTACTCAGCAATAAAAAGGAAAGAACAAATCAAAAGGATTCTTGTGTTCTTCCATTTCACACTCACCAGGATGCCTACTATCAACAAACAAGGCCGGGAGTAGTAGTTCATGCCTGTAATCCCAGCTACTTGGGAGGCTGAGGCAGGAGACTTGCTTGAACCCAGGAGGCAGAGGTTGCAGTGAGCCAAGATCCTGCCACTGCACTCCAGCCTGGGTGACAGAGTGAGACTCCATAATAATAACAATAATAATAATAATAAAATTAAAATAAAGTAACAAGTGTTGGCATGGATATGATTAAATTGGAACTCTGTACTCTTAGTGGGAATGTAAAATGGTGCCACTATGGAAAACAATATGATGTTTCCTAAAAAAATAAATAAGCAAGATATATACCAAAAAAATTGAAAACAGGATTTTGAAGAGATATTTGTACACCCATGTTCATAGCAACTTTTTTTTTTTTTTTTTTTTTTAAACAGAGTCTTGGCCGGGCGCGGTGGCTCACGCCTGTAATCCCAGCACTTTGGGAGGCCGAGGCGGGCGGATCACAAGGTCAGGAGATCGAGACCATGGTGAAACCCCGTCTCTACTAAAAATAGAAAAAATTAGCCGGGCGCAGTGGCGGGCGCCTGTAGTCCCAGCTACTCGGGAGGCTGAGGCAGGAGAATGGCGTGAACCCGGGAGGCGGAGCTTGCAGTGAGCCGAGATTGCGCCACTGCACTCCAGCGTGGGCGACAGAGCGAGACTCCGTCTCAAAAAAAAAAACAAAAACAAAAACAAAAACAACAACAAAAAAAAAACAGAGTCTTGCTCTGTCACCCAGGCTAGAGTGCAGTAGCATGATCTTGGCACACTGCAGCCTCTGCCTTTTGGGTTCAAGTGATTCTCCCGCCTCAGCCTCCCAAATCCTGGGACAACAGGCATAGCAACAGTCTTCATAACAGTTAAAATGTGGAAGAAGCCAAGTGTCCACTGACAGGTGAATGGATAAACAAAAGGCAGTTTATCCATATGATGGAATATTATTCAGATTTTAAAAGTGGAGAAACTGTCACATGGACAAACCTTGAGGACACTGTGCGAAATGAAATGGGCCAGGCACAAACAGAGACGCACCGTGTGACTGCACTCAGATGAGGTGCCTAGGGAGTTACATTTGGGAGACAGAAAGTGGGATGGTGGTTGCCAGGGTCTGGAGAAGGGGAGATGGGAGTTGTGTGATGGGTACAGGGTTTCAGGTCTGCAAGATGAAAAGATTTCTGGAGATGGATAGTGGTGGCAGTTACACAGCAATGTGCTTTTTGTTTTGTTTTGTTTTGTTTTTTTAGAGATGGAGTCTCACTCTGTCACCCAGGCTGGAGTGCAGTGGCACCATCTCGGCTCACTGCAAGCTCCCTTCCTGGGTTCACACCATTCTCCTGCCTCAGCCTCCCGAGTAGCTGGGACTACAGGCACCTGCCACCACACCCAGCTAATTTTTGTATTTTTAGTAGAGACGGGTTTTCACTGAGTTAGACAGGATGGTCTCGATCTCCTGACCTCATGATCCGCCCACTTCGGCCTCCCAAAGTGCTGGGATTATAGGCATAAGCCACCGCACCCGGTCTACACAGCAATGTAAATAGACTTAACTATGCACTGAAAATGGCTAAGATGGTAAATTTTATGTGTATTTTACCACACAAAAATCAAAACATTAAATACTGAAAAAAAGTTTTTAAAAGGGGAAGAGAATGGATATACAAGTAGTATTATAAAACAGATGAACCTCAAAATTATTCTGTAATTTTCCACACACAAAAGACAACGTACAT